GTCAAAGTAAAACTTGATCTACCCTCTATCATATTAAATTACGTCAAAGTAAAACTTAATCTACCATCTATCATATTAAATTGCGTCAAAGTAAAACTTGATCTACCCCTATCATATTAAATTACGTCAAAGTAAAACTTAATCTACCCTCTATCATATTAAATTACGTCAAAGTAAAACTTAATCTACGCTCTATCATATAAGAGACTAATATTTGTTCATACTATATATTTCATGTATTATATAGACTTACATGTATTAGCCGCAGCTAAAGAACCACAGATATCTTGTTTGTTGTTTGTTTTTGTTTTCCTATTACTAAGCGCAAATCTACACAATGACCTGTCTGTGCTGTACCCACAGTGAGTATCAAAACCTGATGTTTAATATTTTAAACCCTCGGACTTTCCGCTGACCTTTCTGGGGGCATCAAAGAGAGGGGGGAATAAAATTTATAAGATGTCCCACAATTTATTTTTAACGATTTCTTTATTATCTTGATAGGAGGTATAATATTCACAACATACAAATGAGAAACATAAGAACTTATTAATGTATTATCATAATAAATATGGAATTACTTACAAATTAACTGAACACTTTCTAAAATAATAACAAATACAAATTCCTTTAAATATTAATAAATTATAATACGAATAAATCAATTTCAGGGACAGATGAAGAAAGAGGACTCATCAAATGGAGAGAACAAGGCCTTGAACATAATATATCTGAAGGTGATGAGTCGACACTTCCGTCACCTTCAACCTATGACCTCCCATTCGGCATGGACGTAATTAAAAGATATCAAATTTTCAAGTACATTCCTATCAGTCCAACATACGACCAGAATATATTTCTTGGTAAATTAAAAGCATTATTTAACAGATTTAAACCTCAAAAGAATAATAATCATAACATCGACTCTCAAAATTAAGATCGTCTTTTTTATTGACAACAATTAACAGAAAAGTCAATATAAATGTATGATTGATTTGATCCCCTAAGAACAGGTTATTTTAATACCTTTTTTGTTATGAGAATCTTTATAATTTGTAAATTTCTATTCCCATACCTTAACTAATGGTACTGGAAAATAATAATCATAACATCGACTGTCTCTCAAAAGTAAAAAAAAAAACAACAACAAACTGTTATCATCTTTTTATTTAATACGTTTAATAGAAAAGTCAATTAAAGTGTGTATTTAGTTTGATACAATAAGACCAGGTTGTTTTGATACCTTTCTTATTTATTATAATGTTTAAAAATGTTCGTAATTTCTAAGTTCCTATTCCCATACCTTAACTAATGCTACTAAAAATGTGCATAAACAGGCGTATTAAAATCGTGTTTTTACAGAAGTAGATCTAAATCAAGTCATTGTACAACCTGCAGCGTGTTAAGTTTCCGTTACTTCATGTGTGATTGAAACAAAATACATAAAATAATAGTTTGTAGTTTTCGTAACCTACTTTCTAGTTTAGGTGTATAAGAACTTTAGACAACAAATTCTCGACAAAATGTGTAGAAACTTTCAATTTGTACAAAAAATCGCTCTTGAACTACGATTGAAAATATTAAGTCGCAGAATCGTCAAGTATTTGACTTAAACACATGTTTAATAAAGTTTCAAATTTCTCTAAACATCTTCCAAGCTTTTTTTATCTAAATTTGCAGCGGAGACTCAGGATAAGGTCTAAAATGTTATGTATTATGTGAGATTTGTAACTTCCCTCGTGTTATCAACGAGAATTTGAAAATTATCACTTTTACTGACACGGCGATTTACATAATACCGGAAATGTGTAACTTTTTAAACTTAATATTTTAATATAATCACCCAGTCAGGCTGTTGGTGTTACAGTCAACTCCGTCTGGGCGTTAACTTATTTGTTTGTTTATCCACACGAAAATTCGAAAATATCTAAGCCTACAAACACCAAGCCTGGTTCATAATATGATGTTTACATATCCTGGTTCAAAGAATACTTGTGAAGTGAAAAGACCATAGATAAAGATAGCAGGGGTCATTATGTTAATAGTAATGATAAAATCACACTAGACTGCAGATTTGTCTTTCACATTTTTTTTTAATTAAACCATTACAGAGTTCCAATTGAATGCGTGTAAAAATAATATTTTAAATGATGCGGACAAAATACAGATTTAAAATGCAATTTTAAAACGTCTCCAAAAAAATATATATACCTATTCTTAACTTAAGTAAATTATGATTGCATGATCTTTGATTTAACAGTTAATTTAATTCTAACACTGCTAATTTGAATCCATTCTAGGACATATTTTGGGGATCGAACTGATCTACAACTATTTAGCGCAAAAAAAAAGAAAAAAAAGAGTAAAATTAAAAAAATATAAGTCTTATCTTAATGAGCGCATATTTCAGGAAGCCAATTAAAGCTGTTTGGAAATACCTCCTGACCTAGGCCCGGCATGGCCAGGTGGTTAAGGCGTTCGACTCGCAATCTGAGGGTCGCGGGTTCGAATCCCCATCCCAC